CCCCCGCTTCCCTCTTGGTGGCTGCTTCCCCCCCCCTGCCCTGCTGTAGCTGTCGTCTTGACCCACTGAGGCTGATGCTGCTGCCTTGCACCTCATGCACACCCATCCCAGGAGTACTGCTGCTTCTGTTTTCTTCTTCCTGATTTCTACAGCATCATTGCCACCTTCATCCCTGCCTGCTTTTGATACAGCTTCAATCACACCAATTGCTCTGTGTCTTCCCTTAGTGGATTCATGATCATTGTCATTGCCTCCTTGTGCACCTGGCACCACCGCTGGGAGCTCCTGCTACCAAGTCTGTCTGGACCTGACTGTTCCCGTTTGGAACTAGCTATGCATAGTCAGGTGTCTACAGGGTTACTGTGTAATCTAGGTTTACTTTTGGACTGTTTGGATTTCTGTTGTCTGGGTAGACAACACCTCTTGCCATATGGCTGGACATCTGAAAATCCTCAACAATGACCACTGTGTATGAGAAAATCAGCTCTAAAGCCTGTGTGCAGACATGTCCAAAATGCATCAGATCTACTGTACACATCAGATCACTCAGCACTGCAGCAAATCTGATGCATCTTTGACAGTGGTATTATGTGGTACACGATACCTGTATACACATGCTGTCTGGGAGATCTTCTGCAGAAATAGAAGGGCTTTAAGAATAACCTCATAGCTATGGGACTATGCTGTCTCCTTACTACCATTAAAACTTGGTAGATGTTCTGGAGCAGCTCAGCTGACAGATGTAAACAGTCCAGTGCACTTGCTTCTCTGGTCAGAGAACAGACTGCACGGTGTTGCTGTCTGAATTGCACCGTTTCCTTCTGCAAGGTGGTTTGTAGAGTATGCTATGTTTAGCATGTTGAAAATATGGAAACACTGGGATCAAGTGTTCTGCCACTCCCTTGCTCTTTCAGGCAAGACAAGCAGTGTCCTGGTTTTAGAATTACAAGGGAAGTTACGGTTCCTAATGTCATCATGGAGAGATCACTTAAGTGAGATAAAATCGCAGATGGCGTATAGCATTTTGGCTCCATGTTCACCAGTAGTTTTGTAGGGTCCACTGATGGTTGATGTGCTTTCTGAGAAACCATCAGTACTCTTTAAATCCAAAACTAAATTTCTATTACTTAAGAGACTCAGATCTGATTATTTTCCTGTGGAAGGAGTTGCCAGACAGGAAGCCTTAAAATTCAAAGGACAATAGTACTGAATTGAGGGGTTTGGACATGTCATTGTCATACCATAAAAAGATCTAAGGGAGAGGGAAGATGCCATAGCTTTGATGTACCATACCTTGAAATCACATGGAGTGCCGAAGGTTTAGACTCTGCTGCAGGCTACTGCTCCAGCTCAGATATCTCTTTCATTAGCTATGCTACAGTTACTACTTTGCCTGTGACTTACAGTTCCCTGTAATACAGCCTAGAGATGGCTATCCAGTGGAACTTGCAGATAATTCAAGTAGTAATTTCCTTATGGCTTAGCAGGCAACAAATCCAAAGGGTGAGTGTATTAAGTGATTGAGCAGCATCAAGGGCATCCATAGCATCAGTGCAAAGACCTGACAGCTGATGTGTGGAGGTACAAGGAATTTCAAAACTGACCTTCCCAAGTTTTGCTGCAAAGCCTTCATGAAAGAGTCAGAGAGAGGAGCATTCACAATCCCTGTCTTAACAAAACAATGAGGAACGTTTATTTTAGGAAAAGATAATTTTTCTCATAAACCTTTACTGAGGTTTGTTAATGCAGCAAAACTTTCATTGGTCTTTTAAAAAAAGACCTCTTTTCTCTTGAGTTGCTCTGCTTGCAGCCTTTTAGAATATATTTTCATTATTCCATTGTCTTACAGTCTTGCACTATGAGTTTCTAATGTTTAAAGAGAGGGAAGAAGAAAGTGTGGATATTCTATATTTTTGGAGGACAGTTGTTTTAAGATGGAGATTGGAGTTCCATTTTCTTTTCTCTATGACAGACACCTATTAAGATAATGCAGGGTTTTGGGTCTGGAATACACACTGGTTTATGCAGATGGAATGGAGATTTACTGACGAGTCCAAAAAGCCATCTCTTGATAGCAACTTTTGGTCCCTATGAACATGGGCTACGTTTGAACTGATGATCTAGAGGTGAAAGGCTCTGTATCCTATTTATCTGTCTCCTGAGCCATGCATAACACAAGTTGACAAGAACTATAGTTGTGAGAGGAAGTAACTGTGGAATCTGCTCTAAACAGACATAGTTGGCTGGAAAGACTTATGGAGGGTTTAAAGTCTTAGCTGAGGAAGCACAAGGGGTAGGTGTAGCTTCTCCACTGCGCTCCAAAACACCTAGTGGGGGCTATGCATTTAGACTGAACTACCTAGATGTTTAATTTTAAGTCAGAGGTAAGATCATCACACATTTTATACAGGTCTGTTATCATGGCCTGTGCTTTTGTATTTTGATATGTGTCTATGGAGAAAGTTCCCAGCTGCTTCAAGAGATTGTGGTCTAACTGGGAATTGTTAGAACTGGTGTTTTTGCAAGTCTTCTTCCACAATGAGTATTACAAAAAAATCCCAACCAACCCGCCATACAAGGAAAATAATTAAAGAAATCAATCTGCTAAACTTGTTGCTGAACCTTCTTGAATCTGCTTTAGAAGGACTAAAGAAAGGGTATGGTCTTTCAGAGTGAACTTTTTGCCCTGAAAGGCTTGGATTTGTTTTCTGACCTTACTATAAGCTTTCGTCAGAACTGTGGGAAAGACAGAGTTGATTAGTTATTTAGGTTACTGAGTCTCACTGAGACAGTCATACAGCCGTTCTCTGCATAAAACTGCCAAGCATTCAGATAAACCTGAAGACATAAAGGATGCAAATAGGAAAACTTAATAAATTATATCATTTGGTTCTACTCATGTCTGTATGGAAAGGTATTAGAACAGATAAAACCAATGGTGATTTGATTTTGTTTTTCTGCATTGTTTTGGAACTATGACAAAATGAAGCACTGGATTTTACTAACTGCAAATCAGTATTTCCCAGGTATCATGCATCTGGTAGAAAACCCATGAAAATATATATGTGATACTGAACTGTCAGCTGGTTTCTTTCTCACTGTTCTCACAACCCTATTTGATAAATTCTATTTAAAAAAAAATCTCCTATAACATCATTATGGATGAAAAAGGTATGCCATAGATCTTGTGTTTTTCACACAGCAACTCTTTAATCTGATTTTCATAAATATTGAGCTTTTGACTCACTTTACAGAAGTTTCAGAGTTTTAACAAAATAAATAAATAGTTTTTCCTGTGGTGAAAGGTTTTCAATTGCAATTTCAATATATCATCTTCAAGATGTCTGGGAATGTGACTTTTCCACAGTATTACTGAAAAATTCCAGTGAACTCCCTTAAATTTGTTTGAAAAGTGTACTGTACTCTACCTTATTTACTTAATGGAAATGTAGTAAGCAGGAATATACAGTATTTGCCTCTAAGGGAAGCACAAAAGTTGGAGCACACTATTTTTTCTTTGTGAGTTAAGTTCGTTTCCTTAATCAAAATAAAATTATAATTTTAAGGTTATTATCTCTCCTCTTGTTTTTTTCAGCTGGGAATTTTGGGGCATGACTACACGTTTCTACACTCAAAAGGCTTGTGTACAAATGCATTATTCTCAGTAAAATTCACAGCCTTTGAGTTCATCTTCCTCCTGTTCTGCGTAATTTCTTGATTGCTCTAGTTTAACTTGATGGGGCTTTTTTAGTAAGTTACTACATTTTTTTTAACTGTCTCCAAATGACACTCTGCTGCTAATCTTAGAAGTTCTCTGTCATTTAAAACATAAGTTAGTGCAGTAAAGTAATGGTCACTTTCTTTTTCTTTTGGATTTGTTGTGTGTTGATGTTTCAAATTCTAATGCAGATCTGTCTACTCTGTACCTGGGATTTGGACATTTTGTAAAATATCAGCTCAATTTTAAAATAAGATGATGCTAAACACAATATTAATACCTGAGTTTTGTTTGTTGGGTTTGTTTGTTTGTTTGTTTGTTTGTTTTCCCTAGTCCTGCTTCTTGCTGGCTTTAGAAGTTTCCATTTTTATAGTTTAGAGATACTAGTAAAGTCCATCTTATAATTTTCTTGTTCTGATGACAAGATAGATCAGTTCTGGACAGTTATCATATGACCTCTATTGATGTTTCAAACTTATGTCTTCAATTTTAAAGCTTACATTATAAATTTTGCATTGGGGAACATGTTCTTACAAGATTAGCTCAGAAGAATAGACAGAGAACTACTATATTTGTATGAAAAACCCTCACATTAAAGATACTTCTTTAACTCATTTTTAGTCAAATGGACAATCTTTATCTTATATGATTGATAATATATAATGGGAACTAATAACATTGTTGTCAATCTTCAGCATTGAGTTAAATCCATGGAATGTTTTTAAAGCAAAATACACAAATACATTATTCCATGAAATGATACGCAAAACTTTTTAGTTTAAATCCTGACCTGCAGATGACCTTCAAATTAATAAGACTTCAGTGTTTTATCAGAACAGATGTTAAAAGGGGAAGGTCTTGAGCTCCATATATATATAAAATTAGCAAGGGACTCCAGAATGGATTTAAAATGGATTATGTTAATTCTGATCTTAGAGACAGCAGTCAAAAACCTTCCAGATGAACTAACAGTGTTCTGATAAGCCGATCCATATAATTTAAACAAAAACCTTTCATACGATTTTGATGCTATTATGGTTTTATTCCCCAAAAGTCTCACCATGTGGCACTCTTGGTCATTTACTATTTAAAAAAACAAAAACCACACGCACAAAACCCCCAGACCCCTTCTTATCTGCAACATTCCTGTCACCTTATGTATATTTTATATAAACCAAGTATATAATAAAACAAAAGCTCCTAATTTACACTTGAAAACTCTTTATTTGCAGTCTCCTGAAAGCAGTTGTGTTCTGGAATAAAAGAGAAGACTTTTCCCATCCTCCAGCTATGCTGAACTGTTAGCTTAGAAATGTCTTGACTGAGAAAATTCAGAACAATGTGTTTGTTTCAGAATGGAACAAGAAGTTATGACTAAAGTATTAATAATTTATTATTGCTTGTCTCCAGAAGGGGAGCCAGCAACTTGAATTGTGTTTCAGTTTGAAAGTGTTTACTCACTATATCTACAAAGTAATATCCAGAAGCAAAAGAATTGGAAAGAACACTTTTATAGGTTTTCTTGAACATTTGAAGGGACTTTGCTCATATTCGGCTTTTCCCTTTCAAAATGACTTGGTAATTTTCCAATACTGATTGTATAGGACTTTCAGGAAGAAAAAGGAACTAAGGTTATAATACAAAAATCTAAAAATGGTCTAAGGATATTACTTTGTATTTGTGGAAAGAAAGGATTGGAACCAACAGCAAGTTAACTTAGTCTGATCTCAGTTTTTCTAATTTTCCTGTTCAAGACCAAGCTAGAAGGCATCGGTTCACCTTATTCTGTTACAATAGGCCAAACTAAATGCATTTTTCCAAAAGCCTCCTGGGCTGAGTGGCTGGTAAGAACACTGTGTAAATGAAAATTATTGTCACATCTACAACTAATTGCTGTCCTGTTAATGTTTAACCTGTTTGCTGCACCTCTCTTTAAAATGTTTTTGACATCACAGATTTGTTGATCATGGTGTTTGTTTATTGCCACCTTACTTTAGCTGTCTATCCCACAACTGACCTGCTTCTATTTTTTTTTTATCTTTTCAAGAAAGTAAAAATTTTCAGTAGTATTCTGCCTCAGGACCCTGTGTGACATTTGCAAATAAAATAGAGAAAGGGTATTGACTTCAGGAACAGTCATACAGGAGCCTGACGCAGTTCTGAATCACCTCCTTGTGGTGTTCATCTCTCTACTGATTATAAGAGGAAGCATGGAAAGCCAATTTCCCTCAATTAAAATTTCCTTTTTTAAATGTTTCCTTAACTCAGCTGAAAGCATCAAAATTTTACTTATATGCTACAGGCCTGAAGTTGATAAATGGTTTTAGCAAGTAAGTCTTGGCCCCATAACCCCTGTAATCTATGAAAGAACTTAGAGAAGACAGGTAAGTAACTGTAGTAATAGATAGAGCTGATGTCTCAGTATTTGGTAGCTTTCTGTTGTCAAAATTGTTTGAGTCTTTCTGTATTTTTTCTTTTAATTTTGCAGTTAAATCACTTTTTACGCTTAAGTTTTAACTTGAGTATTTCTTTTAAACTCATTGTCCCTTATGTAAAATTTCCCAACATAGTTATGAATTTACTGTACAACGTATGCATAGTGTATAGACATGAAAGGAGGTATTTCTTGGTCTTTTGTTTTTTCCCCCCTCTCAGGCCATATCTTCCATATTTCTGCTCCAACTAGTCTGTAGGCTAACAGAACACGGTAGAATAGAGAATATTATGGAGCCTTTCTTGGTTTGTGGTGTTTGTTTTTTTTTTAAACCCTCTGACCTTAGTGCTTGTTCAAAGTAGTTGTTTTCTTGGTGGGATATACTGTATCTTGTCAAAAGAGTAAATAGATTAATGGTTTACAGCAAAATATGATATACTGCTGGAAAAAATACTGCTTGAGATAAGTGTATACATGTCCTTTCCAGTTAAGGATGGTGGAAAGAGGATGGGTGTGGATGTGTGTATACATTCATGTATACCTACAGAAGGCAGATACATACAGGCACACTTTTCCAAGATTTTTTGTTTTTCATTGTTTGGTGCATATACTGCGATGTGGGATGATTGGGAATTTGTGTTTCAGAAAAAAGAACTCCTAAAAAATCCTATTAAATTCAATCTAGAAGGGAAGATAATTGTTATGACTTCAGTGCCTCCATTCTGCAAGATGCTCTGTGTGGTGTTAGGAATCTATTCATCAGAACAGCTAATACCATAAGAGCCTGCTTAAAATTTTTACTTGACTGAGTCACTCTGACAGTTCACTGTTTTTTCCAAACTAAAGCATTATATGGATCACCTTTTGTTTCTTAATTTTTCTAAGAACGGAGTAATTTATTTAGGTATATATTGATTGCATGTATGATATTGATATCCTATATTTTATGAACAAAGTATTTTATTGAAATTTGATAAGAAGCTACATAATTTGATTTTAATCTCTTTGTAGATATTATTCTGCTTTAAAAACAATGGAACAGCTAGAAAATCTGTATCTTCCCAGAGTTAGCCAATACCGTTTTTGCCAGATAATGATAGAAAATCTCCCAAAGCTGCGTGAAGAAATAAAAGAAATATCCATGTCAGATCTCAAGGATTTCTTGGAGAGTATTCGAAAGCATTCTGACAGAATTGGGGAAACTGCCATGAAGCAGGTAAGCTGACCTAACAGGATGACTTCAGTCCTGTTATCTACTGAAAATATCAGTGTTGATAGTACCAGGTTAGCCCAAAAGATTTGTCTAAGGGTTATAGTCATCACATAGACCTTTGAGTAAAGGTTGAGAACTGTGAAATGCTAGCTAACATCTTGGGTAGTTTCTTCTCCTGGACATGAAGTTGTCAATTCTAGAGATTTCTGTCTGACACAGGAAGCAGCAGCGTGACACCTCATTAGCATCAAACTTTCCTTCCAAATTTGCATCTCTGTCCCCAACAAGAAGTGGTTTTCTCCCTGGGAAAGGAAGGAGAAATGCTGTATATCTGAAGTTGGGGGAAAAAAAAAAAGTTAAATACTTTGAGTAGTCAACTCCTAGACAACCTGTAACTACACAAAAATAAAGAGCAGCCCATCTGGCCAGCCAGAAGTGTTGAGATAACTGCCTAGTTCTTTCTAAAGTACAACTAATACAAGGCATGGTATTGGCATATTACCCTCGAGAGAGGGCAGAGGACTGAGGTGAGAGCCAGGGTGAGATTGGGACAGCTGGAGCCCATGCCTGTTCCATCACAAAATAATCTGCCACTTAAAAGCACTGGAACTGGGCAAGCTTTAAAGTAGTTAATGCTTTTAAAATTTATTTGGAGACTAAATAAGTTTTCATTTAACTTTTTGTTGGGCAGAGTTCAGGTTGGATTGCCATTTTGTCATTTAAGGTTCTTGTAAAATGCATAGTTGATTATTATAAATTAAACTTAATCACAAGATTATACTGGGCTACCTTGTTGCATTTCTTTCAGTAGTAAGAACAATGTAGTGCATTTGGCTTCTGCAGCTGACTGCTCACTAGGACTTGACTGAAGGCTATTCCACAAATAGCTGGAAACTCTGTGATAACTGTACTTTAATATTGATTCTCTGTTTGCGATTTTATGATCAGGAAAATTACAGATCATTTTAATTTTTTTTTCTTCCTTTAAATTGCATTCTGAGGATTAGGGAAAACTATGCAGAAATTAGCTATTGAACTAATTTATCATCCAAAATCAGTTAAGGACTAAATCATCAGTGTAGGCTGAGAACAGACATCTTGCACTTATACTGATGTGTGTTCAATAGCACCACCTGTTTTTCATGTCATAGCATATACTCATCAGTGATGAAATTTGCATTACATCCCTCTTTATTGGTATTACTTTTAAACAGGCACAGCAGCAGAAAACCTTTACTACTCTTCAGAAGCAAACCAATGTAAACTATGGTCGGAATATGCATTTAGGTAGAAGCAGAATTTTGGAATCCAAGAATGAAATTACATTGAAGCGAACGTTTGAAGATGATGATGAACATGAAGAGGAGGTAACTTTATACTAAATCGTACATCTTATTTAAAGTGTTTTTTGTAGGTTTATTGAAAAAAACTTGTAGTATGCTGTCTGTAGATGGTCAATGTTACTTAGGAAGGACCAGAGAACACCTTCAAGGGACAGCAGTCCTGAGCAGCATTTTAGGGGGAAAAAATAGTGCCAAAATATTAGTTGTATTAATGATAGCTTTAGCATCATGTTTGGGGACATTCAAACTTGTAATTATTCTGGAATTCAGTTGCAATTTTACATTGTACAGTACCTGCCCAGTGTAAATGACATGTGGCCCACTGGAATATTCTGCTATTGCTAAAGCCAGCATTTCTGTGTTGAGGACTTCAGCTTAGAACTCTTTCAGCTATCAAATACCAAGCATTCATAAATTAAATAAAACAGTGAGTATTTAGACCTTTAAATCTGGTGCTCTGAAAACACAGTGAAAGGAGTCTGGTCTTTTAACACAAAATCTGGTACTGTAATACAAAGGGAAGGGAGAGTTGAGCAATTAATTTTCTCTTTTGTGGTAGAACCCATCCATTTTTGGGTCCTGAAATTACTTCTACCGCTTTATATGAAAACAGTAGTTTTAGTAGCCATAAAACCTGGCAACTGAGTTGGCTTTCGCTGGTCCCAGTTTGGTCATGCTTTTGTATTCAACCCCAGTGTATTTCCATATGATGAACTTTATATTCATCAGCCTGCTAACTTCACACCCTACTAAACTACTAATTCTCACCTAAATATCCAAATTTTTAAGAAACCAAGTTGAGCAGTTGTAAAATTAAGGCCAGAAAACCAGAATTTAAAAGGAAGGGATAATTTCTTACCAGTAAGATGTCTTATGAAGTATTTATTAATACATGTTCTGCTGGTAATGTATCATGTTTGGCAGATTATATGGTTTTTATGTTTTATATACTTTACATTTTCCTTTTCTTCTTCAGGTTTTAACTGCTCAAGATCTTGTAGACTTTTCTCCAGTCTACAGGTGTTTGCACATCTACTCAGTTTTGGTATGTATTAAGGGGACTTTAAAAACATATTTTACTTTTTGAAGTTGAATGTTCGTTTTCGTATTGTTCATACTCTAATAGTTCCCAAGCAAACATAGGGCTTCTGGTAGTAGTAGTTCTCGATGAACCAGCTGAGATGGATAGAGTATGGATACTCAGGGCACAACTGCATGTTTTATTGTATATGCAATAATAAGGGACACGCTGCAAGACAATTATGTAAGTGTTCTTAAGAACATATGTAAAATACGCATGTCTGCCTCAATACTGGTATCGACACTGTTGCAGTTCCCCAAAGTGTTCCATGTTGCCCAAATGTTTGGGGGGATATGATCAATGTTACAAAACATAGGACTATTCAGTTGGAACCTTGTGGAAACCAGAAGAGTAGAGCAAAATAGCAAGCAAAAACTGGAGATTGTGGCAGATTGTGCTCAGGCAGATGAGATTGGATTCAGTGGCAGAGGCACAATAGCTTGTTTTAGCTGCTGTGAGAGAGATACAATGCACAAGCTAACAAGGACAAAAACTTTTTTGGGGAAGCTTAGTAACAAATTATTTATTATTTTCTCATGTTTCCTATATCTCAATTACTTTTTAAGTCAGATTACTTATTCTACATAGATTAAGTACTTTTAAGTATTGTTAATCCTACAATCTTGGCTGGACCTGGCTTCAAGCATTCAGGCTGGGTTATCTTCTTTCTATGGAATTCTTGCACCTATTTAACATGAAGTCTTATATCTTGAAATAACTTTGAAAGTGTTATTTCACTGTTACTTTTTTTAAGGAAGGAATCCAAACAAAAGTATCAGTAATTACGTCAGTAATTAATGAAAAGAACAGGAGGGACAGAAAGACAGGCTGCCAGAGCTATTAAAAAATCATGGATCATTTCTTTTTACAAAGGAAATAAGTGTGAAATAGCATATAAAAAAGAATGTGTAAAGTTAAATACACAAGTTGACAACATCGGCTTATTCTTCCTTTAGTATAACAAAAGAACAGGGAGTAAAATTGATAGCTGACATTTAAAAGTAGTACATGATTATGTTTTTCACTTTGACAAGGATCCTGATATTGGATCCTTGATCCAAGGACATGCTTTTTGGGTTTGCACAGAAAGTTTGCCAGCTTCCAAATTTACTGGAGACAGAAAACAACTTGGAGTACCTTCTGATATCAAAGTCCCTTACCACCTGAAGAAAAAGGGTTGTTGATGCCTTCAGAATAGGGCTTCTGTCTTTCTGCCAACATCATCTCATTAATAAGCCATGGTAGCGTTATCAAGAGTTGTGTATTAATCACTTCTTGGAGTCCTTCTCGTTTACCTCCTGTTGTAAACCATCTTTTTTGGAGTTCAGCTAACTTCCATGATGACATCAAAGGAGAGAGGTTGATAAAAGGTGGCTATTCATTACATTTCTATATCAAGGACTTATCTCACAGCAGATAAGTCACCTTCTTAGTGAATTCTTTCTCTGCTACAAAGTTGTAGAAAATATTCTGGTTTTATGCAGGACAAATGTTTTCTACTCTGCTTCACATTGAAGAAGAAAGCAGGATTTTATATACCTCAGAATACTACATGGATTATGATTGCAAATTGATGATTGCAAGATACATAGTTACCAAACGTAGACTATATTTATTGATGAGTAACCTTTCTTTAGACTAGAACTTCTGGGATATATATATATATATA